TTTTTTTAAATAAAGGGATATTAAGGCTCATATAATCACGTGTAAGGCATTAGATTATTATTATTACGCTACCACCCTTTAACTAGCTCTTGTTCTTCTTCTTTTATATAATTAACTTCTTCACTTCTTTTAGCTCTCTTACAATGCAACTTGTCAGTTGCACCACGAGCTCTTGTAACCTCGCTATAGCTCCCTTCCGTGAGCCCTCACATAATACCAAGTTGGAAAGGAAGGTAACTTATTAAAGCCAACTTCCCCCCACCACCACCAAAAAAAAAAAAAGAAAAATGTCCAAGTCAATCATATAGATCAAGTCAACAACCACTGTCCGGAGTGTGCGGGAAACAGCAGATTATGCAGCAGGCTGGTAACGGCCGTGACTTCTCCTTTCTCAACGACACACGATATGCTTTTGTTGCTCGGCCCTACCCACCAGACCAAATTAGTTGTTCTCAGTATTCCGCGCCTCCTGTAAAGTTCATACACAATTCCTTGAGATACCATGGCGATATTAATGCTGTTGTTCCCCAGCGTCGACAGAGCAATGCCAGGGTTGTGAATTGCACGCGCATCCTCGACCGTCACGACAGCCTTGTCCGTAAACACGCTCACACTTCCGCGACGGCGCAAGTCTCCAACAATGTCCTCAAGATAATTTCCCCCAAGTGCGTATCCTTCTATTGTATTGACTCGAGAAGGAAACATCCTAGAGCGGAGTGACTCCGAGATGCACCCTGCGCTGGTGGGTTGTCTCCATGTCCAGTTTCCACTTGTCCATGCCGTGAAAATGTTGGCAAGGAAGCGGTGCATACGGAATCGCTCGAATGGCTCCACTTAGATTACGAGCATGTTTCGCTTTACTGTTGGCATGACTGAATTCCCCGGAGACGCAAACGCCACCAAATCTGGTTCCGGGAGTGCTTCCCTGGAAACATCGTGCTGCTCTTGCGCGTGGGGACGGGGATTTTGTTTGCCGTGACTTGTTGAACGGGTTTTTTGTGTAAATTCTCTGGATGTTGAGATGACGGACCTGTTTTCTCCATGGTAGCCGTCGAAAACATGCATAGGCTGGCGAATTGGCTTGCAAAGTTCTTGGATCAAAAAGGAACAACAGGAATGCTTGATATTTGTTTTCGTGTGAGGTCATCTTCTAGAGGGATTGCAATGAGTTATTTCGGCGCATTATCTCGCTGTTTGATGCTTTTGCACAGCGAACTTGTCTCTCGATTCGGGAGATCTGAATTAGGGACGGTTTCAGGAACCTTGTGCTGCGAAGCAGGAGAAGAACGAGTTTGTTTCTCATATGCTTCGCTGTCTTGCCTTGAACGAGACACGGGTAGCACATGAGACGGATTGCTGATTATGAATGATGCGTGATATGACGTCCTGGTGCAGCAACAAACGAAAAGGCGCATCACATAATGTGGAAGAAACGTTCAATCTAGTCGTACTTATGTGGATCTACTGACGCAACAGCGCCGTTTTCTTCAACTGGGGTTTTTCGTCGCTGTAGTTATCCCGACAGTTTTACCAATGCCACTGCAATTGTCGCTTAGAACATAACCAAGGACCATGTTTATCTTGTAGATTAATCAATTATCTCACGAATGACTTGAATTCAACAGCGGCGTCTAGTCTCGCAAAACACCCGCCTAGTCGCCGCAATGCTGCTCAGCAGCGGCAAGGGCGTTGGCCAAAGTCTGACATGTAACATGTTTGTCCTCAATGCCAACACTTGTGCGGACTAGATGCTCCCAGACGCCAAACTGAGCTGCCCACTCCAACTCCTTGTAATGAGCCAGCACTGTGTAGGGACAAGCGAGAGTAAAATTTGTCCCGCGAAACTCGGAGCCTTGATCATCTCGAGAGCGCCGTGAAAGGCCACGGCAGCGGAAGGGTGGATGAAGCGGATGGATAGCAAGACCAGTCTCCATGGCCAGCACCGGGCCGCCTAAGCCTATCGTATTATGTATCGATGCTGTGAAGGACTTCCCTTGGGGTAAAGGGCTTCCCCCACAAGCCTATGATCCCGTAGCATCCCCGCAACGTGCTCGGGAAGAGAAACGCCTGCCGCCTTTTCATAGATTAGTTAGTACGCCGACCATTTTTCATTTAGCTCTTTCCACTTACGTGTTGCTCGCCAGGTGGGTACTGGGTCTCCGAATGGGATCGATGATGGTGGGAATCTGTACCTTCACTCAACAAGTCTTGTTGGGTTTCACAGGTGATGAACAGGTAGGCAAGATGGGCGTTGGTCCTAAGGGGAAAAGAGTAGCAACTTCTGGTGTTGCAACTTTTGAGGTTGAATTGCTATATATATGCGTTTATCCAGAGGACATCTTCTCTGTCGCCTGCGCGCTTTCACTAGGAGTAAAGAGAGCGGTATAGCGCGTGTCACCAAGACGGAGTTGGCAGCATATACATATGATACTTCTATAGTTAAGCAAGAGGGAGGTCTTTTTACGTCGGAAAATGCCCAGGCCTACTTCAGATGAGGTTATCCAAACGAAAAACCTCCCCGATCTTCTGTCTCCCGATCTGGATGCCAAGATCGAGAAATGGTACCTTTGTCGATCTTCATTGGCACTATTGCGGTAGTGTCAGGAGCCACGGTGACACATGGGTCTCGCGCCGGGCTCAATTCCCCGTTTTTGGTCTCAGTTGCCTTTTCAGCTATGTGATGTAACCGTTATACAATGATTACGGTGGACGATAAGTGTCAGAGGCGGTAAAGGCAAATTTTCCGTCTCTCTCTAAAAAATTATGAATACATGCTTCGTTGAATGATGCCGGCCTATGACGCAACATTTTCGAAGAAATCAAGTCCATGTTCGTCGCCACGGCTGGAACCTGCACTGCATTGATATCGATATTGCAGGCTTGGACTGCTTTCGTCGGCAGCTTGAAGCCCCCAAGGGACATGTCTGTCTTTATGCGATGGCTTGTACATACATCCCGTGTTACTTGTAATTAAGACCCGTTGGAATCTAGCTCCGGATCGGCCGTCCTGTTGTAAGCACTGCCGGAACCACGCTCGTACGGCCCTATTTCGTGGTCTCGGGAGGCGGCGCACTTATTGACCGATTACGACTAATACGCGTGTGGTAGCTCCCTGTATACGGACTTGTGAATGAGAGACCACGACAGCGCTCTGGATAGGCCGCTGAGTGCGAGAGGCAAGCCTACGGGTGAAAGACTCAAGATGTAGCATGAATACAGCATTCGGGGCGATGCAGAGAGATGTACAACTTCAACGTGGAAGTAGAGGCCAGTCAAATTCTGCGTGATCGCAGTGTACCTGCTGCGTTAGACACGTCTGCTTGACGTTCCGCGGTTGTCCTGCGTAAATTATGGCCTGGCAGTCCGTAGTCGGGGTTTCGTTTAGACCAACCATGTGCAAGGTAGTGAAGAGTTACATGACTGGGACCATTTATTCCAAATCATTGTACACGAGCTGCTGTTGCCTGAAGTCGCTTTGCATTTACCGGTTGCACACGCACGGCTCTGATACATCGGCACGTTTCGCAAGAACTATCATATCTTACTAGGACTGCCTGCAATTACAGCCCCGTATTGCTCTAGTATGAAGATTTTCAGAAGAAGTTGAGTTTTGGGCATCCTAGCGGGACTCTGCAAACGAAATGCAGTCAGTTACGGGGTCCAGACTGCAAACTCGAGACCGCAGAGTACGTGAGAATTTGTAGTGAATAAATGGGCTCTATGATCCATATTACGCCAGTTTACGAGTAATACGTCTCTGGCGAAGCTGTATGTCTTGTCAAAGATGCATCTCCTGTAGATTCGAGCAACAAGCCTGCCATTTCGGAATATCAGCTCGCACTTCGGATGCCATAGAAAGGGTATTAATAAATGTAGCGGACGGCCACTTCCAGAGATTACTTTTAATCTAGATTAGGAGGGCATTCTCTTAGAACAGAACAGCTGCAAGGTACGGCCCAACGATTCCATCTCCGGACCATATTAGACTCGCCTTTGTTACCCGAGGGCGTAAAATCTTTCTATTATGGACTTCTCAGTCAACAAGAGGCGGCCAACAGACCAAAAAAAAAAAAAAAAAAAAAAAAAAAAAAAAAAAAAAAAAAAAAAAAAAAAAAAAAAAAAAAAAAAAAAAAAAATTAAGTGACAACGCCCAACCAATCAGATATTCTCCATGATTGGCAACATGAAGTGCTAGATATGCTGCCTTCTTCATACCATCAAGCGGCAGATGAAGTCATCGTGCATCGTTTTCCTCAATCGGGCATTTCGATGGGGCCGCAGCATCCGCAATTATTCTTGCATCATAAGAATTGAAAATTGGTTGGAGGAACAGTGCAGAAGATGCTTCGGATTATTTTCTTACGACTAGGAAACATCACAGTTCCCTGGAAACTGCCAAACAAACTCAGACATCCCCGATCTACTTGGCCCGATATATTTCAATTTGTCAGATATTCAGAGAGCGTCTCAGATCTCGAGGCCGTTCGGTGACAGATGACGCGACCTGAATGTTTGAAGCAGGTTGGGAAGGAGCCAATGCGAGCCAAGTGCCGATGGCGGAAATATCATCGTACCTGAAGCAGTTCTTCTTGTCCGACTCCATGAAATAGCACCTGCGCAACATGGATTTCAAGCGCCGCGAGATGACATTCTACCTATGGAATTGATCGAACCTTATTTTTGACATCTATATAAGATTAGACAAAATTGTGCCGCCGGAATGCTTAGAGGATGCTATTTTGTATAGAAGACGTCGCGGGTCAGCTCGATGAGGCAGATGAGGAGGACGTGTTGGCTGATGTGGATATTGTGACACCGCAGAAGCTAGAATATATTTGGACCTGGACTATGTCTGTTCCTGTGCCAATCCAGCGATGAGCTCATAACTTCTTCGGGAGAAAGTCGCAAACCAGATGCATCAGCGCTATGCTCTTGGGATGGGAACTTGACATATTCGAGCCAGACCAGCTTGGCTTATAGATATTGGTATTCATGAGAACACCGAATACTCTGGTTCCACTCTGCTCCGAGAAATCCAAATAGGCGGCGACGGCCATGCTTGGTGTGCTCGAGGCAGGAGGGGGCTTTGTTCTGCTTGATCCTGAGCTTCCAGAGTCTCGACTCCAGACGGTGCTTGAACAGACGGACTCAGACATACTCCTTTCTTCCGCTGAAAATGCCAAGCTCAGTTGACGTCTTTCAGCGAGGGTCATTGAAATTGGTCCATATTTGTACGAAGCCCCTGAGTCCAGTCCGGTCTGGCAGGCCAAGTCACTGTCATCTTCAACTGTGATGTTTGCAGTGCTCATGTATGGCAGTACTGGTGTGACAAAGGGGGTATTTTTGTTCGAGTCTCGGCCATCATCTAGATCTTATTGGATTGAACAGCAACACCAGACTCTTGAACTTTGCGGCGTACGCATTCGACATTGCGGTCCACGATATACTCGCCACCCTGAATTGCTGGAGATTGCTTGCGTATTCCGTCAAACAAAGATCGCAAGCACAATCTAGTAAGCGCTGTCATTGATATGAGAGCTACAATACTTGACCTCACGCCAACCGTTGCCCGCTTTCTAGACCCTCATAAAAAGCCTGACTTGAAGATAATTGTCTTTGCTGGCGAGGCCGTTGAAGCTGAAGAATGCAGACGAAGGCGGGGGAAAGGTCGCGTCATTAATTGTTATGGACCTGCTAAATGTCACTATTGCGTGGTCAACAGCACATCGTCGAGTCCCGAGGAAGCTGCGGGAATAGGAAAAGGAGCTGGCGCGGTGACTTGGGTGCTTGACACTGAAGACTCCGATAGTCTAGCGGCTCTTGGACGCAAAGGGGAGCTCTTGATTGAAGGACCAACCGTTGAACAAGGTCATATAAGGGATGCTACGAAGACGGCTACAGCATTCATTAACGACCCAAAATTCCAACTCTGTGGGTCATTGGGTCACAACGGACGTCGAGGACGCCTTTATAAGGCAGGCGATTTCGGTATAACGAAGACGCAACTTTGACTTTCGTCGGCCGAAAAGATGCAAAAGTCAAGATTCGCGGCCGGCGAGTCGAGCTAGGGGAGATCGAAATGTCTGTTCAAGAGTTGATGCATAGCACCAAGCCGGTTGTGGTAGAGGTGATATAATCCGCAACGGACAGTTTGGATCCAATTGACAGAATTCTTCCATGTCGACAACCTCTTGGATGAAGATGGCCAGCCCACTGTGGCTAGGGTCTTTCCTACTACTGCTCAATTTAAGGACAAGTTGGCAAAGCGCCTACCGAACTACATGGTGCCGACTGTGTTGGTTGATTTAAGGCTCCCGATTCTCAGGAGTGGCTCGCCATGATCCGGCGGGACATGGAGGCGGCTCTAGAAACCACCCTCTTTGGCCGCTGGCAGACATGCTGGGCAATCAGAGAGTACGTCACGATGGTCATCAAGGAGGGGAATGGGTGGAGAAACTCCTTTGCGTTTGAAGGTTGCCTTGTGAAAGAGCGCCGAGTGCTTTTCTAGAGGAGGGTTTCTACCCGTGCCTGATTCGGCGACGGCTGCAGCATCTTTTGAGATTTCAGATAAGTTGAATATTTTCTCGCGAAGGCCAATTTCGAAGGTTGGTGAGTGTTGAATGGAGCATTGAAGAAACTCCATAGTATGAATCCCGTTGGATTATAACACACATCATGCATTTCCTAGCTTAGTTATCATCCCATATCAACCGGCCCTTGTGAAATGGCGTGTCTTCTTCTTATATTCTTAATCTCTGTTCCTGAAAGGATAAAAGAAAGCTACCGGTAAATGGTCCCTTTATAGTCAATATGCTCCCATTCAGCGAAAAGTGCTACTCTTATGGAGTACTTGTTTAGGCACGTCCTATCATCCATGCTATTGATAAGGTAAGGAAGACGGGGAAACAATTCTTCAGCCTCTCGATATTGTTGAGGCAAGTGGTTATCGTAAAGATTCCATTGATCGGCGACCGAGCTCTAAGGAAGGTCGGAATCCATTTTGCACAAGCATCGGAAAGCTACGTTATCACGCGCTTTCTTAATTGGTAGTTCAAGACGGTTATTCCAGGCAAGTAGCCGTGAAGGAAAAAGCCATCAAGCGCCGCTGCATAAGAGCCTTACGGACACAAGCGTCCCTCGGACTTGACATCATCGCAGTCACGGGGCCAGTTGGATCAGAAAGTTATTACATCAGAAAGTAGCATTATAAAAACATAAGTGAAGGTCAGCATGAATGGCTTTTACATCATAAATCGGTTGAATCATAATGTGGTATAAAACATCATAACCTGCTACACCGCAGCCGTTACGCATCTTGAAGTTTGGCCTGTATGGGACAATACATGTGACTGTGCTACGACATAGTCATGGCTCCATTTAAACATGCCATCATGCTGCATCATGGCAGGGCAGTGGCACGGAATATTGACATCCTGAACCACGGGAACCCTGAGCGGCTTGACGAGGGGAATACTGGTCTAAGACACGGGTGGCAGTTGGACGGATGGAGGCAACGGTCTGGTTTGTTTTAGCACACTAACTTATATGCTGTAAAGTCGAGTGTGACTGCGCTCCACCCATTCGATTGATTCGACTGAAGCTGTCTATCCCGAACCCAGGTACCACCGGTAGAAGAGACACCTCTGGCAGACTAACGCAGATCTGAGAAACACTTCGAATTGAAGGCTGAAGTTAATGGCAATTATTTGTATCCATGGAGAGACTTTCTTCGTCTTTTCTTGGCCACGAACGAGGGTTCAACATCATCTAAATTCTCATCCTCGAATCCAAGTAGATTCTTTGCAAAACCTTTCCGCTCTCTCCAATCTGTATCTCGTCGGGAAATATTGCTGGGCCAGCGGGCTGGCAGGGTCACAGCTGCCGAAATCGGTAGGAATATAACGACAAAACTCGGCATGAAAGGCCTTCCGGCAAACTGTAGATGTTGTGAGACGTCGTGTAGTTGGAATGCGGTGATGCGGCGTCTTGGCTTTATAAAGTAGTAATAAGTTCGTCTGAAGTTTGATTTAGGGAGATAACGACAGCATATTCGCGATTTCGGCATCTGATAGATGGGAAGAATCTGCTGCCCTTGGCAATGCGAAGATGTAGAAGCACCCAGCTTGGACTAGAGTCCCCAGAGTGACGCTTCCAAGCGTACCCGTAATCCCGACAAGGAGGACGTAGGCGGTTGGGCTTGGTTTGATCTTTCCATTGTGAGGAAATATATAAGCTTAGATCGGGGTAAAAATTGAAATGAATGGACAGAGGCTGAAGAACGGCATAGTGAGGAGGGCAGTTGATTATGAGTGTCACAGGGTTGCACGAGGGCTATTATGATCACGAGACCTTAGGGCACGAGGCTCACCGACTTTCTTGTATATATAGAACTCCCTGGTCATCTAGGCTTTGAAGAAAACCAAAGAACTTTAATACCAAAGACTATTATAAGATGAATTGAGCTAGAGCTCCAAGCCCTCCTTAAGCCCTTGTCACATACCCGACCCAGAGAACCGTGACGAACCAAGAGAGATTGTTTGTATTATAACATCAATAGTGTGCAGAGCTTGACGATTTCGAAATGAAATAAGAATGGCTGTTGAAAGCTTTGGGCCCTTCATACGTCCGGAGATGGATTTGTAACTACTGCATGTATCGACTTTTCCTCTATGACAGCGTTTTTGACACAGGATACTCGTTTCCGACACGGCGGCGTGTTTGCTCAAGGATGAAGATATTACTGGAGCTGGAGACTAAGCTATTAGTTTGGGTTGGTTTGTTAACTTTGGCTTGCCATCAACCACTGCACCCACAAACCTCCAATGAGCTGGGCCAAAATTTTGAAGGTCCTGTATCTTGACAACGATGGGGTGCGTAGGAGTTACCGGGCACATTTCAGAGGACGTACTCCGTGATCTTACTGCACAGCCATTCTCCTTGGGTGCCGCCTGACAGGGATGGCCTGAATCGGACCCTTGCCGCCAAACTCGAATGTATAATGTGTGCTCCGCAGCTGAGGCAGAATATGCTGCAGCCAGTAGGAATAGTGCCCAGCCGGATGAGTTCCCCAGCCCTGGTGAGGTTTCAGGCTTGTGGTACACACCGGAACTGGGATCATGATGCGGAGTATCGAGATAAGGCCATTGGCGGCACTTAGTACTGGTTATGCATCTGGCCAGATCAAGATATATCGAAAACCAAGACCCGCCGCGAAGAAAGTGCTCCAATTAAGAAACGTGATGTCACGGCAAAGGACATTATACCCCGCCTTCTTCACAAATGTGTTGATCATGGGAACTGCTGGTAAAGAGTTTCCGTGATTTGCAGTCCCAGTCTTCAGTCTCGGCCACGTATATCCACAACAGCTTGTCTTTTAAGCGTTGAATAGGTGCTGGATACTTGTGCACAGTTATGGCGAAGCCAAGCGTACCGTTGTTTCCGGACAGAGCTTCAGGCCCAGCTATTCAGCTGGGCAACGACACGACGAGTTCTAGCCCAGTTCCTTCCATGACAGAAGAAATTTCCGATCAGACGGCATCCACGAATCGACTGAGACCATACCAATCCCTTTACACAAAATCATGGAGCACACAGTTCGGCCAGCCATATACTGCTGGTTTGACCAAGAATCGTCTCCTGCTCTGGTCTACAATCACCTTTGCGTTAGGTCTTGTAGCTGCACTTTATCTCGCCAGAGTTGAGGATACTCGTCCATCCTCTCAAGTTTCATGCCTTGCCTCTAATAATATACCATTCGTGGTTGAGGGTTCCCATGGATGGGAGCAAAAGACTGTGCCCTGGAATCCAAGACTGAAATACACGCCTTCTGCAGTAGCAACCCCGCAGACGGCCGATCAAATCAAGGCCATCGTATCTTGTGGTATCAGAAACGGAGTGCGAGTCAGTGCCAAAAGTGGAGGCCACAGCTTCGGATCGTTTGGTTTTGGAGGCGAGGATGGACACTTGGTTATCGCCTTGGACCAGCTGAATGCCGTCACGGTACATACAGATGGTACAGCCAGAATCCAACCTGGTGCTCGGCTGGGACATGTTGCCACAGAGCTATACAAGCAGGGGAAAAGGGCAATACCTCTTGGCACTTGCCCCCGGTAGGTGCTCAATGATGCCGAAGTCTCTAGACGTGTGCGGCTAATAAAGGCAGTGTTGGCATTGCAGGGTTCATCCTACATGGGGGATATGGCATGGCCGCGAGGGCGTATGGCCTCACGCTGGATTGGTTAATAGGAGCGACAGTTATACTGGCAAACGGCACGAGTGTACACTGTTCGGCAACTGAGAATGCCGATCTATTCTGGGCGGTTCGCGGGGCCGGATCTTCGTTTGGCATCGTGGCCGAGTTTGAGCTGAAAACATTTGAGGCGCCTGAAAGCGTCACTCCGTTTGCCATTGACGTCTTCTGGGGCCAGACACAGGCAGTTGAGGGATTCGGAATTTTTCAAGACTTGGCCATGACAGCACCAAGGGCGCTCAACGCTTGGCTGGCTATAAGCGGAACGGGCCAGCGAATTCAAGGTGTATGGATGGGAGATCTCGCCGGCCTTAATGATACACTGCGGCCATTGTTGGGCCGTCTGGGAGTTAAACTATCATATGCAAGCACCATGAGTTGGATTGAGGCCCATGAGTACTTTGCTGATGGTGAGGAACTCGAGCCAGCATCTCCGTATAATTTGGTATGTTGCCTTGCATTGACGAAATTACCACAGGGGACTAATTGAGCTATAGGATGAAAGGTTGTACGCGACTAGTCTCATGGTCCATGCCATCACGGAATCTCAGATAGAGGCCTTCATGTCCGCAGTCTTTGCCCATATGAATGATACCTCGGGTCATCACTCTTGGAGCTTTGAAATCGCGTTTCACGGAGGAACATCGTCGGCCATTGCAGACATTGACCCATCCACAACGGCATATGCCCATCGAGATAAGTTACTTCTTTACCAGTTCTTTGGTGTTGGAACCCCCAGTCAATATCCCGATGATGGTTTCGCTGTTTTGCAGCGGTTTAGAGATAGTATCACGAATACATTGGCGGACGGGGACTGGGGAATGTATCCAAACTATATCGATACCCAACTAGATGTAGACACGGCACAGAAACTATACTGGGGTAAGAACCTGTTGCGGCTACGGAGTATTAAGGCGGACTTGGACCCCAGACAGGTCTTTTGGAACCCGCACGGTGTGCGTCCTCTATTGTAGGCCACACTGCGCATCTTTCCCCTAATTCGAGGGATCCTTTGTGCCGTGATTATATAGAAAATATAAGTTTCGGCCTTAGATACCCCGAAGCCGACGCCAACGGCTGGATCAAGATCGAGAAACAGAACCCCCCTTGCTCGGATAGGCGCTTTGTGAACGTTCCGGGCACCAGGGTCATTCAAGAGCCATCAACCTCGACGCTGAAAACGGAGGGAATCATCGAACGGAGCTCGTTGTCTTGCTTCCTTCTCATCACGTCGGCCTGTGTGCAACTATGGGAACTCATGGCAAGTCCTTAGGGACACCCGTATACTTGTCGGCTGCTCCTTTCCCGGGTCCTATCCCGCATTGAATCATCAAGTTCATCTTCGGCCCTCCAGGGCCGATCAGATGCCGGCGATCATGGCACCAGTCTGGTGCTGAACAGCCTTGTCTGATGAGCTTATACAAACATTCGACCTACACCTTGTACCTGAAAGTAATGATGTACCTGCGATTGGTCAGAATCAACAATTGGCAAGTTTACTGTGATAAATGTAAAGGTTGTGACTATGGCCGTTTCACCGGGACGTTTTAACGCGGTTACAGAAAGAGATGCAAGAAATAGTGCCCAGTGGAGAATTCTTGTCGCAAGAGCATGCCTTTTCAAGTTACTACTCGGATAATTCTGCACTGTGGTGGCTCTCCAACCCTTTCTATGTCTGGCATGGATCCCTTCCGGTTGATAAACTTGACCGACTGAAGTTGGCGCCTAGGCGTAGCTTCTGAGGGAAGATTGGATGATTTCCAAACAATCACGAGACGCTCCTTTAACAGCCTCAACTGATGGCAATGCCAGCGGAATAGCTGGAGAATACGAAAGAGCTTGGAACGAAATACAGTGTGCAACGCATTGATGGCTCTTGCTAGTGCGGCAGATCTGAAACGGCCACATTGAGCAAGGTCAAGAAGTCTCCCCCTCGGCGCAAACCTAATCCCAGCGCAATGGCCGGGGTTTTAGGTACACACCGAAACAAGGAATGGATCCATGGCTTCAAAAGTAAGCCGGAGTCTGCTCAGGCGCAGAAACCTGTTCTGCGGCTTGTCTGTAAATGCCGCCGAGATGCGAGTCATGATGGATGGTTTGAGGTCGGCATCACGCAGAGCTGGAAGATTGAAATACAGTCATCATCAGCAGTCCATGTCCATGGAATCCCGCGTTTGTTGACCCGCATTTCGCCGTCTTGTGACAATTCGAATTCCTCTACATCAGAAACTCTTCGCTTTTGCTGCTGGACGAGGCGTAGTGGCTAGACCCAATTCAAGGAAAATGAGCGACCCTCGGATCGATGAAGCCATTGCCGCTGGCCATGTGCCCCCGGATGTCCCCCTGGATGTTCTAAAAGAGTCTCGAGACACACCGGCCATCGCGAGCATTGTCGTCGTCGCTGTCCTGACATCGTTGGTCGTCATGTGTAGACTGTATTCGCGGAAGTACATTACAAAGAAGTACGGATTTGGCATCGACGACGGAATAGCTCTCGCGTCGCTAGTAAGCTGCCCTTGAGACTAGAGCTGCTTGGCCTCGGCTGCTAACACAAACTGCCTCTCCTTCTCTCCTTTAAAAGCTGGTTTTTATTCCTTTTGCAGCTCTATGCATAGTGCTCATCAACCTAGGCGCTGCACGAAACTTCTTGTTCGAGTTTTTCGTCATGACCGAGGACGAGTATAGGAAAGTACAGCTCATGGATTCCATCGCGCACTTGGCTTATAGCACGGCGCTGGTGCTTTGCCGAGTATCGGGAATCGCATTTTATTACCGCATTTGCTACCTGGACAAAAAGTTCCTCCTAGCCATCAAAATCATCTTTGTGATTATAATGCTAGGGTACGTGGCGCAGCTCTGTCTCATCATCTTCCATTGCCAACCTGTAAATTTGATGTGGGCGCCTACCAGCGAAGAAGAAGCGGAAAAGTATCGGTGCATGTCTTGGTATGAGATATACACCATCATCTCCAGCATTTCGCTTGTCTGCGACTTCCTACTCTTCGGCATTCCAGCGGCAATGCTCAAGGGCTTGGAGCTGCCACGGAAACAAAAGCTTCAACTGGCTTGTACGCTGTTCCCGGGCATACTGTGAGTTCTCGAATCAGAATCGTAAATGGGGCAGTTTCTGACGACACGTTGCAGCGTTATCGGCATCTCTGTCGCGCGGGTCGTGCTAGTCACCGACTATGCTGGTGAGTACAGCTCGTCCGAGTTGGGCTGGATCTTGTACTGACACACTAGATGTCAAGCCGAGACGGACGACGCTTTTGGATATGCCTTTCTCAAGTTGCTTTGTGTCGAGGTCGCCGAGGTCGGCGCCACAATTATTGCCGTGTCGGTCCCGGGAGTCAAGCCGATGGTGGACAAATATATACTGACAAAAGACAAGGAGTCCCACTCCAGCAGTTCAAATTCCAGGGGTTCAAGCATGTCTTCCAGGGATGAAATAAAACCGCATCGAGGCCAAGTGCACATCGTGGAGCTCTCAAAGGAAAAGGGCGGAAGATAGTCCTGTCGTCATACTGAAGGTGGAGCGACATGAGATCCCTAAGCCATCAGCCGGGATGTATATAATAGCCAGTGCCGGTAGCTGGTGTCTAATACTTTACTACTCTAAGAAATTTTCTCTGCTTCTAGGTAGATTTATCAAATCAGTCGTGTATAATTGAGTCTATACCTAGTCACTTTGTGATACATCACTGGAGTTCATTGATGGTATCCTTTCGTCTAAATAAACTTGCCTTTAACCGTGGATAATTTTATTCATACGATATAGAAGTCAATTGTAGTAACACCTATTGTGTGGCGGCTCTTGTGGGCATAAGATCTGGAGAACACGGAGATTCACTGAATTGTAGCTTTTCTTAAACAAATTTCCACCTTTATGATTATTTTTAGGGTAAATTTGATTATAATCTTTCAATTTTCTTAACAAGCCTCGTGTAGGCACTTCTCTATTTAAATTAAGTATATACGCTATACTTTACTTTTGTAGTATTTATTGTATTCTTTTGATTATTAGTTAATATATTTTTAAGTATTCATGTAGTTATTTATGATTAATTGAATCCGAATTTAACGTCTCCATCTCCACGAAAGTGTCAAAGCAGTTATCGGGTCTGACTACTAGGCCGTGGACCAAAAAAACCTAGCAACAGCAGCCCAGCCGAATGTCCTATAAGCATGCAAATATTGGCTCTTTATCTTCACTATGGCTTCTGGCAGAAGGTGTCAGTGTTGTGGTGTTGTGATTTACATCACGGACATCGTACACTGTCAGTTGTGTGATTGGTAATTTGCTTTTGGGCTGACCAAGTATCAGAAGTGAGGCATTTCCGCTTTGCCGAGCCAAATCTATATGTCGCGTGTTTACTTTATAGGTTGCCATTCTTCTCAAAACTCACTGCCTTCCATCAGTGCGATCACAGCATCGTTACTCAATCCCTGACCCGTGACACTTTTCAGAGAAAGATATCGGTGAAAACTTATGCCCGAATCTTAAACACCACAATTACTCACGCAAGAACATAGGGGCCAACACTGAAGCTTTGTCTAGGACGGAGAAAACTCTATTCATTACCCTCAACTGAGCATAGAGAGACTGCTTTCGCTCCAAACGCTCTGCTGGGCCAGGATAGGTTTGACGTTTGGTTTCCCTGGCCATACAACAACACAATAATACTATAGGCGCGGTGTTGCCATCTGCTATACAGATTGCTTGTGTCGTCCAGGTGACAGCATAGTGCCATTGGCGTAGCGTGCAAATGTCACCAGCAACTGATAGAGTACTGCGGAATTAGGCCGGTTACACTCCAGATACGCGGTGCCAGTGTACATACCGTGTCATACGGTGCTTACGAAAATATCACAAGAAGTAGTCACTAATATTTAGCAGAAAGCTACATGATTCACTCATGCAACGAGATGACTTGACTATTGCTGTTGCATGAAAGCTTCTCCAGACACCTCCAGTTACCAGACTCAGCTGTGAGCTGGCCTCTCACAACTTAAACATATCCAGCCCCATAAAACTTCTCAAACTACATCCTGGGAGTATCGAGATATTTGCTCCTCGTCGGAATTCCCCGGCATCATCCACATTAGCATTTGTGAATTGTATTTCCAACACCGGGATCTTTGTTGGTAACACCAACAAATCCGTAATTCTCCTTCATAATTACACGAAAAGTTCCGGGACGATCATTCTCTATGAATCTCAAACGTCAGTAAAACAAGTTTGGGTTTGAGAAGAAATTGAAACTGGGAGATATACTGTTCCAGACGGGCTTCGTGAGAGGAAACTCCCAAAGCTGGCCTTTGGCATTGAAGAGAAAATTCCCCTTCCCGCCCCGGTTGGAAAACTTGCCAGGGTAGGTGAGATTGTCATTTCCAAGTTTACGAGCTTGTCGTATGCTCAGGTTGATCTGGTCCTTGGTCCAGTGAATGCGGTCACAGACGAGATCCTTGAGCCTAGCCCGGTCCTCCAGAATGGGTTGGGTAGCAGAAACAGCCACCAGGGAAAGGAACAAAAGGTTCTTGATATTGACCATCATGTTGAGGGCTTGTCGTTGTTTTGTTTTGTGCAGTTTCAAATATCAGAAGTGTTTGTTGTGTATTATCGAGTTGAACTAGATTGTACATGATGGTATTGCATCCTTGACTAAATATAAGTGTTTTGAGACATATGGAAAATCCTATACATAGGATGTCGGTATAGCCCCAATGGTATTTCGTGAAGGGATTACGTCTGTCTCTCTATTTCTGCTACTGCCAGCAAAGACCTGCCGATCAGCCAACTCGTCAAACTTGCGCCAATCTACGTCCCAAACAAAAACCGAAGTCGAAAAACCAACAGCAGGACACTCAAGAATCTATGGATTACGCTCTGGCTGTGCACTAAAATTAGCGGCCTGCTGCAGAATCTAAACAATTGCCTGGTCGCACGACAAAGGGGGGCCCGTCCTTTTCACCCATCTTTGGTCCCTCCCGTTTAATTTTAGCATGATACGAATTTAGTAGAGGAGCAAAATCAGGGGACAGATTGTTGGCCCAAATCAGCGCATCTGAGAGCAAAAGTTGAAACAAGGCTGCAGATGGATGCTGTCAGCTTACCATTCATGCACTCGCAGCACGGCCAGGATGAAAATAACTCATTCAATCTGGTCATAAATCATAAATTTGAGCCAACATGAAGTGCCACTGTATTCATGGGACAGCGCAAAATGATATTCGGTAACGGAATGGTTTAACTCCTGCAGACCTGCAACAACGCCACTGCTGACGTTGACATGCCCCCCCTTTCCCGGTCCAACAAACTTCTAATAACAGGCCTGAGGAATATGCGGGTTATTCTCATGCATAAATATTTTCGCGCGTCCCTGCGCGGAATCAGAGCATATGGCCGGGCTGCAAAGACAACACCCTTCTTCATTCCGTTCATGCTGTACATTCTTCCCTATCTCACACCACTGTTACCATGCCCCCGTTCGACCCAAACACTTCACATCCCTATACCATGCCTCAGTGGATTATCTCGATGCAAGACTACCCAGAGTTCAAAATTATCAACAGGCTCGTTCAAGAACCAGACTCTACCGTACGAGATGCTCTCGAAGAGTTCCAACGACTGACATTGTCGCTCATCGACGCCCGAAATCAGAATCTATTCGATTTGCACCCCTGGCACACATTCTGTTGTCTCTTTGAAGTGGCGAAGCGAACAGATCACGACAAACAAGACAAGTTGGTAGACTTCGCAATCGGTCTGCAACGGGTCACGGTCACAAACCCGGCAACGGGAGAACAGCCCAGACAAGACGGCCAGCTTCTTTGGACAGAGATGCCAGCGCTGGGGTACACTGCGGCTGACGATTGGCATCAGATTGGTAGGTAGGCTGTCTGACTGCTGTCTTGTCAATGTTCATTAACTTTGGGGCCGGACGTAGACGTCACGGATGCCAACACCGTACCGGAAGCTCTAGAGCGATACGAAAACTTCCTCGCTCTACTTGCACGACTGAGCTCCGCATTCGACGTCGACTACAGTGATTTCAGGGTCCCCGAAATGGACTTTTCCTTCTGGTCTATGCGGGCCTTCAAGGAAGCATTCGAGGAGCAGCCCCCGGCCGATTCGGCAGTGCGGACGGCATGCATGTGGCTGATCTACGCGTCAGATCGCCTGTGGTCGAATATTGTGCACGGCCGAGTATTTGGTCGGATTGACGATGACCCTGGCACTGTCATGACACAAGACATGTGGACAGGTTGGGAGCAGGGTCTACGGAGAGTTCGAGAGACTTGCGCTCTAAGAACAATTGGACTTGTTGATAGGGCCATCTCAAGTATGAGGCTTGCCCGCAGACTTCCGTTGGTCAACGGCTCGACTTGAGTATAGTATGCCCGGCAAAACCGACGACGTAAATATCTAGCGCGAAGTAGAGTTTAAAGATCCAGTCAAAAGCAGAAAGACAGTGTCAAGACACAGCAAATATATAAAGTTCTGAACGCTCAAAAAGACCGCGGTTCATTCCCAAGTTTAGCCCCTTCAACTCCCTGAACGCCATGTTGCCTCCTGTGTTCATCCCGTATCCAACGCATTAGTGCCCGCACGTGGGCTAGCCCGATAGTTTTTACAATCTTTCGCCGAGTGGCCAGCTACGTGAAGGTTCGACTCATCTTGTGCGTAGTGGTGCCTTCGACATTTCCGCAGGGTGCGTGAGACGATCTATTGTGATGCGTTGCTGGGATGTATATGTCGGCGAATATGATTTCGGGACTTCCGGCCGAAGCTCCAAGCCTGGCAAGGTCTCGTGAATTCGCCCAAAACTCTGTCTCAGATGTTGATTGTTGCTTTCGGGATTCCGTCCAACGTCTTCCTCCCTGGTAGAAGTGGCTAGAAATTCCGGCTGCTTCGGCGTGAAGATTGCCGTCGTGGTGTTTGTGCTGGGCGGCGGGGATTCGACCGTTGCTGCTGCAGATCCGACCGACGGCGCCTGAGTTTTCAATGATGATGAGTGATTTTGCTTTTCAGCAGTGCTTTCGCCATGGGCTGATGCTGGTCTTGCTGGTCCAGCTTGCTGCGTGGAACAGCATGTTTGACTCGGCTCCTTTGCGCCGTTGCCGTACTCTGTCGTTTCGCCCGGCAAATCCCAGGAATCCTCCTCGCAGGTACCTGTACCCATCCTGGCCACCGGGGGCTTATGTTGAGCTTGACGGCTCACAATGTCCGGCTCCGTGGAGGGATCTTCGTTCTCGTTCTCGCTAGGTTCGTGCGACGAGTCGTCTGTACTATAGCCGTCGTCGTCAAAATCGCTATCAGACTCGAAACATGGAGAAGCATTAAAGTATGAGTCGATTTGTGGGATGGGATGGTTATTATCTCGCACGGCTGGCACACTTGGTGTGTCGACCGCCATTCCCGTTTGAATATTGGCTCTCGTTGCTGCTGCCAATGCGGTTATTGCATTTTCTCCTTCCCGGCAGTAAGAATCAAGGCACGTACCATCATCTCCCAAGCCGCTTGCCAGGCCGCGGTCCTTTCTCTCCTTCAGAAACTCGGCCACAGTCTTGAGATAGGGAATACTAGTGTCTTCCGCATCAAACACCTGCAGGTCGGCAGCCATCACCCACCCATAACTAGCCTTCTGTGGGAACAGAGAGTTGTCGAAAAGGATGACTGGGAATTCTCTTTCGTCTTCTCTTATCCCACCGTCTTCATATCCCGGACTCCAAATATAGCCCCCAGTAATGGGATCTATGGCATGGGATTTCCGCCGACCCTCTTCAAGCAGATTTGTGCCCAGGATACTCATGCCCGGAATCCCGACAGACTCGAACGACCCAATCGGCAGTACAATCACAGCATAAGTTCTGTCATCTCTGTGCGGGGTCACGCAGTATATTTCGCCGACTTTAGGGTTTGTAATTCGATTCTCCCAGTGTCCCGTCCCGAGGGTATGGCTTGACGCGCACCGACGAGATGAGCGCCTGGCTGGAGGAATCAGCGACTGAAGGGGCGCTCTCGTTGGTGTGCTATATAAATTGTAAACAGAGTCATCATCGCCGTTGGATTGGTTTGTCTCTCTTGCTGCCGCCTTCTGCTTTTGCTTAGAGGACCATGTGTTGCCCTTGAAGTGTGGGAAGATGGCGTCGTTGTATTCCCTGGCTAGGTCCTGGGTACAGTTCAGGACCCGGACGCCAAACATTTTGACCTTGACGGCAGCTGTCTTGGATTCATTCATGTTGTGCCTCCTCAAGTGTCTTCTTGCCCCGCTGAGAGGAACGTGCTTCATGAATTGATCGTGTTCTTGGCAATAGAATATATAAAATCGGTGGCTCTCAGGCGGATGCTCGAGGACCATACAAAACGACACCACTTGACCATTGTGATACAAGTTATGGAAGTCGACTGTGCCATCGTCGTTGATCAACGGATCCTCTGTCCATTCCGAGGACAAAGTCGCCGTGAACGGTCTGTCCACGTCCAGCTGTCTGGAGCTTGCCGTATTTCTCCTTTTCGCCACGTTCTCTCCCGAGGACGCTCGATTCACCTTATATTTGCGCTTTCTTTCCTGTGGTTCCACTCCTGATTCCTTTGATGTTTCTTCATGCGCTCTAATACGGCTGGTGTCAACAACAATCGAACTTCCACGGCGTCCGTGGCGTCGGGGGGTTTCTGCTGCCGACACATTCGCGTTCTCTGACATACCGGAAGACTGTTCACCACGCTCGATATGGCCAGTGCCATTGCTACCAGGGGCCTGCTTGCTTGTGGATGGAGAGGCAGCCCCATCTCCAATATCAGAAGGGATAGTTGTGCTGGTAGAGGCGTCCGTTGTGAAGGAATCAGGTGTTGATCTCGCTTTTGCCTGGGGTAGTTTTGCCCGCAAATTTGCCACAATTTTCTCAAGCTGTGCCACTTGAGCATAACCCTGTTGCCTCTCTCTCTCCAGTCTTGCTCCGTATTCTTCCTCTTGCTGAACGACTTTGTTATAGTCTCGAAACAGGGCGCGTTGTTGCGAGTCAAGCTCCCCCAGCTGCTTGACAAGTTTTTGTGTCTCATAGTCAGGTCTATCGTGGTTGTCCCGATTATCCTGGTTGGGCCTGGGAACCTGGAGCTTGCGGCGAACAACTGTAATCTCTTCCGTGATTTGCTGTAGCTTACTATTAAAGGCAGCCATTGGAGACTCAAACGATTCCCTTGGTTGACGTGATTTATAAAGGCGTTGAATATGAGCAAAACACTCCTTCCAATTGTTGGCCTGTTCCCGACATTCCGCCTCTAAGAGAGGGGAAGGCAGCCCCCTAAGGATAGACATTCCCTGTAATTAGAAACGTTTGTCCTAATGGTCTTGCGACTAAAATGTAACCTATCCGCGTCTTGCTCACTTACTGGCTGCCCATTCTGGACGTTCTGTACCTGTTTATTAGCGTTAATATGCGAGCCCGTACGACAACTCTCGTGCCGTTGCGTGACGGGAATCTTGCGAAACAAGGGACACGAAAGTAGAAGATCCGTGCCGAAAGCTTCTCTGGAGTCTATATATTACCACGAGGCGGAAATTATTGTTGTCGAGGGGGAAAAGTCCGTATGCATGTCTATCTCGCCATGGAGATTGCGGGGGAGCCATTATAGTTAACATGGCCGCACAACAGTTAGGAATCGGATAGCTTGACTAAAGCTATGACCAGCTCCCAGGGTCATATCTAGCCGTACGCCATCATACGGCCTCGACTTCGTTGTATAACCGCCCTCCAATCAGTTTCAAATAAACCTAATTTCGACCTCAAGCCCATGCCGCTTGACCCTTGCCAAGCGACCTGCTCCAGAGACACCCTACCCTAGTCTTCAGAGGGCTAGACGAGCGTAGATGCCGGATATTAACTAATGGACAGGGAGCAGGGAGGACTTGGGTAGCAATTGCCAGCACCACAGTCATACGTAGCACAATGCAGTTGGTTGCGTCTTGAGTAAACCCTGCCAAAATGATTGGCGTTTAAGCCCCGAAAAAGATTGACGAATTCGCAGCAAGGCCCAAAGAACCACACCATCCGTGGCCCCCAACCATTCGAGTTTAGACGCTGTGACTATTGTGTTCTGGCACACTGTCGACAAATGCCGTCGACTGTGTTACCACGTCGCGGAGTGGCGATTGTCCCCGCGTGGGCCGGTTACCCATTCTGTTTTTGACAAAACCCTCAGAATCCAGACAGAGAGAGAATCGAGGAAATCAATATTTGCAGTCCGGGTTGATCAGCGGGCACATCCCCGTGTCACCCAGTAAGCAAACAAGTGCGTTGGCCACGCCTCCTAATCTCGCGAGTGCGACTGTCGTACGGAAGAGCACCCTATATCCACACCAAGGAGGTCATTGGATCAAAGCCCGAGCCACAAGACGGAAAAAAAAGACCGACTGCAAAGGGAAAGGGAGCAATTATTTGCCCAATGAAGGTCTTGCAGAGGGTTAAGTTAACCCGCTCATCTTGTGCTTCTGTTCCATCGACATGATCGAAGTCCCGAGAACCCACAATAAATGTACTTGGCAAACAAGTCATCTTATCGCACAACTGAGTTAAATGCTCGCAAAAGGCGGCTACTGTAACCCCTGTCATGCGAAGGGGAACTAGGATCGGGGTCCGGCCTGTCAAAAGTGGCACGGCGGAAACCTTCGGTCGTCAACATTTGAAGGTTGTCCCTTTATTCTCCCATCTGCGGGCCCTACGGCGGCCGTGTGGCAAGATTTCGGGATCTAAACCCTAACCATAGTTAAACCAGCGGTCGAATCTTGGGAAAATCATGCCAGTAGATGATCTCCAAGATTGGATATTTTCACCTTGGTCGTTGACTATCAGTCGTTCGATGAACGAATGGGTTAGGTCCTGAGCTCTTGACGACAAACTTAATCTTACTTGGTTTACTCACGATGCTGTCTCACATTCCCAATCGCACGTCTCAGATCGCGAGCTTTGCTCAACCGACGCAGGGGAGCTGCAGTTCAGTGCCATTTGATAGGCACTTTCGGTTTATACAACTAAGTCGACTCCTTAATGCAACCAGCTGCCAAGGCCTAAGTAAGGTACGCGCTATTAAAATCTACGTGACTCTGGTTGTCGCCACGCGGTTGTCGAGCAACCCTGGCGCGCACGCGCAAACACCAGGTATCTACACTTAGACCGCCCAACACTCACTTGCCAGGCGGCATTCCATTCTGGCTTTTAGTCACAATGTCGCTGCATTTGGGACTCGAGTGCCCCGTAAGCGTGGCTAAGAAACGCAATTTACGTCTGTACGTAGCTGTCAGACCACAGAGAGAGAGCCAAAAGAGCACATCCATAAGCTGGATATCGAGGATATTCAGTCAAGGGTCATTATTGCTGGATTTTTTTTTTTTGCTCCCTGGCCTAATGGTTAAACACGCTAACCGTCGTGATAGTAGCAAGCGGCGACCAGCAGAGTGGTCTTGAGAGCCTTAACAGGTGAACTGGCTTGGTCACACCTACTCGGACGGCTACTTTGAAAAACTCCCGCGAACTAATTCGTCTCTTGGTTAACAGAGGGCCGTTACATGTGCATGTAGGCGAATTCACCACCCATGTTATATGACTTGGCACAGAAAGATGTCGAGAAACAATGTTGAAGTGGTATTGGAAAGAGTGTGCTAATAAAAACTGTGAAAGCAGAGAAAAACATGAAATTCCAATCACAATCCTAACTTGACGTCGCCGACGCCGTCTTCACCCAATGACGTGAGCCACATCTCGCTTTCTACGCATGTTTGTGCTGCGCTGCTGAAGAACATGAACTGGAGCAAAAAACAAAAAGGGGGGATGGGAAATGAAAACAAGGTAGAAGGCATCGCTGAGTCGAAATGGTTTGTCATGTCCAGCATGACAATTCTGTTGATGAAGATGATAGCCAGTCATGTGCTGGCATTGGTATAGGAACAGGCTGACTGTTGTACCATTGTCTTTGCTGCCAATCTTGCCTTGACTAGTGCAGGATTGACCATGTATTGGTCTAGAGTTGATTCATGATGAGACCTCGCATGTCCAAAGCCATTCCTCAGCGGTTCTGAGGAATATAGTCTTTAAAGATGGGGCAATTGATGCATTTTGGGCGAGAGCAGTTGAGGCAGGCGGGTGTGGTGCTGTGGAGGAACATTCCCGCGCCGCAATAACAGCAGTTCCAGAAGTACTGAACATCGTACTGGACCGAGCCGGTCATGATGATTGTTTACGGCGGGTGGATGAGAGATTTGATTTCACAAGACCTTGAAGAGCTGCGTAGGACTATTGCCAGTTGCTTTGTTTGAGTTGCTAGTGATCTGGTTGTGATGATGAAACGTGGTTCCAAGAAGGACGGCATAGCAACTTTTATACAAGAGAAAAGACACTATAATGTCTTCGGTCACTAGATATCCATCACAGCACGCCACGCGCAATAACACAAAAGATAATGAGGCTGCCGTGGAAACGAATTACAGAGCACCCACCCTGCGTTTAGTCTAAGAGTCAACTGCCCAGGGAAAGCACCATGGTGCTCAAACATCCAATAGAAACCTTGTGGTACGGTGTATCGACTCAATGAGGGAAGGGAAACAATAGATAACATCGCACTCACACAACTGGTTGGACATTATGAATTGTGACAACACACTTGCCTAGTCAAATTACATTACACAGCCTTGGACCGGCTGGGTTCGAAAAGCCCTGAAATAAGGAACGTGTTCTCGTGATGCCACGGCACGCAAAGGAGCGGTATCGCACTGGTTATGGACGCAATCCCGGGGGGTGGACTATGCTTTGAATATAGGGCTGTCTTGTCCCGTTTAATTGCCGGGTCGCCATTATAGACGGAGAGACTAAGGTAATGTCTAGTTTCACGATTCTTCTGTGTAAATAATGTAAAATCTTGCACGTGGCCACTTCAGTTGTCATGAGGCATTGGAGAGCGGTGAGGACGCAGGGGAAAAGATCAGGGCTTCAACGACAAAACAAACATGTTTGTGCAACAGTGCTGACAATGTCAATTCGCAAAGCGTGCTGTCTTGAGCCTTTTCAAAGACCCGGTGTTAGGATCCCCTTAAACGTTAATTGATTCCCTTGGGGCGAAATGGCACACAGGGGAGGGGTGAGTGTGTGAAAACGGATGCGTGGTCCGCCCAGCCTCGTCTTTCGATGCAATACCATATCAGGAAGGGAAGGCGTCTGTGTCCAGCTCCTACCACACGTGACGTGTTCAATGGCAAAACTAGGGATTGAGAAGAGCTGGCACTGGTGGGAATTATTGGTGTTGGACACACAAAAGCCGCGAGCCCGGTGTCGGCGGCCATGGTAATTGGTTTGATGATTTTGTGGATGGCAAGTTTGTCATTACAAGGTGGTCGTCGGCCGCTTCCGACCCTCCATATCCAGACCCTTATCTATGAACCTGAGGCTACGGTGGTCACGAGACGAAGAAATGATAACGGCCCTGGTACAATGACTGTAGTCATGAATGACTCCTAATCCGGGGGGTGGTGATGACGCATGTCGATTTGAGAGTAGAGAAACAACTGAAGCCGAGGAGAGAATTGGTGCTGGAATTGGAGCGAGACATCCAGCCTTAGTCACCGAGGAACCGAACACCCACTTTCAGGTTACGTCTTGAAACGGTGTTTCAGAGGTCGACTGGTTCGTTTCCTTGTTGGCCTTGGGCGGTGGCATCGAGGCGGCCCCGGCGTGACGCCACGGATCGTGCATGACGTAACGCATGGGAGGGAGTAGCCGAACTTGTTTACCCTGCGTAAAGGCCACAAGAGAAAATGATACCGAGGGCCATTGAGGGTCGGGGTCGGTGTCCAGAGTGGGCATGTAGGAACGAGGGAGTAAGAGGAAGGCGGTCATTGTCAAGGACGAGCGAGGACGGGGAGAAACGAGGAGAAAGCACGAGGGAGATTGCCCACGGAGAAATTCGGAGGGGAAGCTCCATGTTTCCTCCGCCTCATCTCCTTGAGGCTGTGCAGCTCACCCGTGAAAGCGCACAGCCACGTGCACCGTTTGCGCCAGACGGCTTTGTTAACTCGAGCTCCCGCTCGTCATCAACTCGGCTCGGCTTCGTTTGGCTCAAGGCCGCTTCATGGCATCATCGGTCCCTTTTTGCTGCTCCGCCATGCCGCCTTACATCATCGTCACTTGTCCAGACCACCGCCCAACCTCAAATCTTTTCGTGCGTCCACGTCTTGCGGCAGCCATGCCGCTATAGTGCGTGAAATGTCCAATACTCGCTGGCTCTTCAGCATCATCCCCGCCTTCATCGTCGGCGTCTTTGGCCTTGGGGCTTATGCCGTCGCGGGTCGTCTTTGTGGTGAGCCTGTCCCCCTCGTCTGATCACAACTCCGTTGGTTAGTGGTGGCCTGACTTGAATCAATCACAGTGGAATTCATCTTGCGCTACCAAGGCAAAACGGGTCTTGCTGCCGGCCTCTTGGTGCTGTTCTTCCCGCTGTACATCCTCGCGCTCGTCTGCTACGCCCGGCTCTTCGTCACCGTCCAGCTTGACCCCGGCCTTGTCCCCCTTACGAATGGCCGCGACGACAAAGCTCCTGAACCGGGCGAGAAGCGTCGCGGTTTCCGGTCGAGGCGCCATACGGATCCCGAGGCTCCGCCCTGGGTTCCGCCCGACTTGAATCCGGACAGCCCTGGCTTGGAGGCGTTTTACAGCAAGGATGTATTTACGTGCGAGGCGGACGGTCGGCCTAAGTGGTGCTCACAATGCCGGCAGTGGAAGCCCGACAGAGCACATCATTCTCGCGAAATGGGTCGGTGTGTCAGGAAGATGGACCATATGTGTCCTTGGGTAGGCGGCATGGTGTCAGAAACCTGTGAGTTTTGCGGCGCTCCTCGTCAGACATGTGCCATCGCGAGGAAATATAGCTAATGGACGAGGGTACCAGCCTTTAATTTTTTTATTCAGTTTACCTTCTACGCCTCTTGTCTTTGTGGGCTGTGCGCCGGAATCGCCATATACTGTCTCGTCGAGGAACTCAACTCTGATAGAATCCAAGTCGATGGTTGGGTTATTGCCATCATGGTGATATCCTTGTTCTTCGGCCTCTTCGCGCTCGGCATGACCCTCACAGGCGGGCGCTTCCTCCTCACCAACATCACCAACATTGACATGCTGCGAAGAAGGCAGACATTCAACTTGGCCGTTCGGATTCCGCCAGGAACACCCGCGTCAACAAAATACCAAACCATTACCTACCCAATACTGCCAAAAGTACTAGGTGCAACCAGGTCCGGTCAGCTGGACGACGACGCTGCGGCCTCGACGTCGGCCCGTGACCAAGACGCATTCCGCACCTTTGCCATTTTAAAAACCGAACCGTACGAAAATCCGTGGGACCTCGGGTTCTGGGAAAATTGGAAATCCGTCATGGGTAACGAGCCCTGGGAGTGGTTCTTACCCATTAGACAATCCCCTTGTTGTAACCATGATAGCATGCACAGCGACTACCGCCTCGGGCCCGTTCTCGATGATCTCAAGAAGCGTTACGAATTGCCAAAGTTCCCTGACCGGAGCGTGTCACCTGTCCATGTGTAACTTGAAGAGAAGCGTATATGATGGCCTTTTTTTTTTTTTTTTGGTGTCGCATTGGAGTTTTGCATTGCTTTGATAGGCGTTGCGTGGCTGCATATATGAGTATAGTTAGAAAACGGCATAAATCATTGATGCTTTGGAAGTTCATAGTGAGTATTAGCTAATGTTCGGTTTTGGAATAACAATGGAGCGTTGATGCAAGGTCACGAGCTTGTCCAGAGCGGGCTATCTCATCTTGCGCACATGATCAGACTTTTCCAGGATATTAACCGATCACAGCCCAGATAGCGGAGTCTTCAACAAACGCCACCACACAACGCATGGTGTTCCGAGCGTTTCATTGACCATTCTGGATCCGGCATTATGTTGGCCTTTTTTTTTTTTTTTTTGGTGTCGCATTGGAGTTTTGCATTGCTTTGATAGGCGTTGCGTGGCTGCATATATGAGTATAGTTAGAAAACGGCATAAATCATTGATGCTTTGGAAGTTCATAGTGAGTATTAGCTAATGTTCGGTTTTGGAATAACAATGGAGCGTTGATGCAAGGTCACGAGCTTGTCCAGAGCGGGCTATCTCATCTTGCGCACATGATCAGACTTTTCCAGGATATTAACCGATCACAGCCCAGATAGCGGAGTCTTCAACAAACGCCACCACACAACGCATGGTGTTCCGAGCGTTTCATTGACCATTCTGGATCCGGCATTGGCCCATGTCCAAACGGCTGCGTTAGTCAAAGCCATAGCCACGCTTGGCCCATGGGCAGACGATGACTTATGCAACATGATTCGTCGCATCTGGTCTTCGTTTGCTGTTGGTACCGGCAACATTCCGGGGCGAGTTCGTCTCAGAAAAGTTTAAGGGATCACCGTCGAAATAAAGGTCCTTGGCGATGGATAGCTCCCGCGCCCGGCAGACATTGCACCATTCCTCAGAGCTCGACACGAAGCCGAGTCGGGCGGCACGGGCGCATGTCAACTCTCAACTGGCCTGACTCGTGGCTCCATGTACGGTTCAATTGCCGCTCTGGTAGATCGATCCCCGTTGCATGCAAAAGATCCACGGGAGGCGGTGCAACCTCAGCCCTAAGGGGGTTTAAGTAACTTGGTAGCAGCTTGGAGCTAGTTGACGGGTTGATCTTTTGTCACCTCCATTGATCTGGCTCGTTGGCATCATCTCCTGGCAAAGAACCGACGTAACGGGCAGAGCGCAGCCGACAACATGTTGGAAGACGACTTCGACAACCGGCATCAACACCAGCACAAGAAGCTTCGCATCTTAAGTAGCCCGCTTGTCCGGCGTACAAGTAGACTTGGTCACCGTGGCTCGGCTCACGGAGGCAGCTGGTGTCGCATCGAGGATGGCCACGACGAGTCCAACAGCGAGAATCAACAACATAACCAAGACTACGACCTGCCGCATTTCCAACGCGTGTGTTCCCTCGCCCTCTGCCCTCCTTCCTGAATTGTCGACTCGTTGCTTGTGTGGAAGCTAACCCTGTCGCCTACTTGACATCAAAAGCACGAAGAGCCAACGCTTCTAGAAATATTCTACGATTTGTTCTTCGCCGCGAACTATAATGTCTTTAATGATACCCAGCAAGTCACCGGCCAGACCAAGTTCAAAGCGTCTGTTGGATATTTCTGGTTCGTGTGTTCCACCTCGCAATCCGTCATGACGCATTCGACTGTGTGTTTTGGAGAGAAAGAGATATAGAGGGAGAAACTAACCTCTTGATGACTGTAGCTTGCTGTGGTTGACCTGGTTTCAGGTCGCGCTATACGATGTGCGCTATGTCACTGATAGCCTCTTTGGTAGGCATTGAATTCCTCCCCAGCTGCCTTAATTTCAACACATCCATATTCATCAATATGCCGCATTGCTAAACAACGCCGATGCGCCAGCTCGCGCTACTAGGGCCATTCAACTCGGCGTCTTGGTCGGCTTCGTGGTCGTCGCTCCAAAGTTTAACCCCAACGACCAAGATCTCGACACAATGCGCGCCATGTGTAAGTAGGGTGTTCACCCCCGAATCGTAGCTTCCGGTTAACAAATAGTCGCAGCTCTCATTCTCTGCTTCTCGCGGGCATGTCTAGCCGTCGAGTATGCGTCGACGCTGTGGCATGTGCGAAGATATAAAAAGGCCCATGTGCCACTATACCAGCAAATTGCCCTCCACGCCGTCGCCTCGGCCATCTATCTCGGCGTCACTTTCCGCTTTACAGAAGAGAAGCAGAGCAGGGTGTACATGACGTGGTACTTTATCGCAGGCGGCGAAGCCATCCTCAGTCTTTTTCTGTCTAATCTATCCCCTGTCGCCAGTCTCACCAAGACACACTTGATGAAGCGAATGACACTCTTGACTGTCATGATAATGGGTGAAGGCATCCAACAACTGGCCAAAGAAGTCGTAACCATTGTCAAAAACCCAACCGCATGGGGTGAGTACGGCACAGCAGACGGCTGAGAAGTCAGGGCCTTGAGCCCTATGCTGACCGATTTGTTTCAAAGATTCTACGACGATTGGTCTCGTGACAGCAGGCACCACGACAATCTACTTGGTGTTTCTGGTCTATTTCGACTGGTTGAGGGACTCGTTCTATCTTCCCCGCCTCCGCCAGCAGCTTTGGACAAGCTTACACCTGCCATTCCACCTCGCCCTGGTTTTATTCATGCAGGGCTTCACGCAATATCTCTTGTGGTCCAAGATAACCAACGAGGCGAAACGGGCGCTCGAAGTTGCTGATCCATCAGACGACGCCAAGGCACTGACGAGCGTAAATGTCAAAGATTCTATCAACGCCTCGGTCCAGGCCTACTTCCAAGATTACCCACCTAAAATTTCTAGCACTTTTGAAACCGTCGACCAAGCATTGAACAATATCACCACCATGTCCGACAGTTTCTGGCCCTTGTTCTTGAACGGTAGTGTGCCGTCAGACCTCAGCTCCGCGCCACCGGGTTACGAAGCCGACTTGACGACGATTAGCGACTCTTTTATCGCTTTATTTCTCGCCATGAATAACGCTCTATTTGCGGCATTCGGCATTAACCTGGATGAAGACGTCTCCAAGAAATACCCCACAGAGGCTAAAGAGGTTAAAAACGGCGGATATCAGATGCTGATACAGGACAAGACGATGAACCGGTATAGGCTAGTGGTACGTAAAAGCGTGGCCCCCTTTTTTTTTCTTTTTCTTTCCCGTTTTTTTTTGGCTTTCTTGGATAGCTGTTAAGACTCCCCTGGCTGACTAGTTTACTCTGCACCACAGTTCGCGTACGGCTACATCGCTGCGGGATGTACGATTGTCCTGATGGTTCTTCTGACCATCATCGCGCGCACCACTCCATTTAAACCGTGGCCAATAGCGCGTCTTGCCATCATTCTCCTCCTGGGTCTGGGCACCGGCCTAGTCGCCACTTTATGGTACGAGCCAGAAGACAGGCTCGAGGAGTTCCTGTGGTCGCCGTGGGTGCTGCCAACCATCACCTTTGTCTGGGCCGCCATTTTCATCTTGACGCATCTGAACGGCCAAGGCATCAAGCGCAACAAGGACCGCTTAAGGCGCCGTAAAGCCGGTGGTTCGTTGCGCAACGAGGCTGATATGGCCATGACGCCCTCTTCGCAGTGGAGCCAGGGCCACAACAAGAGCACCGCCTATGGCCGCAGCTCTGAGACACAGTCGCGAACGCAGGCTTTGTATCATTCTGTTGGCGCCGGGCAAAGTGAACAAGATGATAAGAAATAGCCAATGATGAGCTACGTCGCGTTGTAGTGGTCGATTAATTAGCAAGAGGGGGCGGACCAAGTTTCGGATACAAGACGGTAGGTTAGCGGATGGCCTTGGGGAAACCAAATGTAGGCGCGGAATTAGATAAAAGTCGTTTATTGCTACAATGTGTACTTTTGACGGCGGAATTCCATGCTGAAGATGACGGGTATATGGGTATTTCTCACATTTAAAAAGTTGAATTCAACAGCATGTTAGCGTATGACGCATTGGGGTATATCACGGTTGCGTTACTAGTCGATATTCTATTTACAGTCTGGCAGAATATATTTGCCCACTTAGAAGTATACACTGATATGCCGTAGTATACTATGGTATAGAGCGCGATAGCTAGGTACCTGATTTGGTAAAATACTTTTTGCCCACCTACTCTAGATTAATCTAGACATTTTTACTACGCCTCGCTGTGGCAATCGACGAATGCGTTTCACAATGTTTGACTGCTTTGGTGCTGTGAAGGGAATATGTATGTTGGCCAAGGTATCCCTGTTGGTCCTAAAAGAAGTCATGCTGCTGGATTCGTGCGGTGGTTTGTGGTAGCTCTCAGGGCATCTACTTGAGATGTCTCAGTCGGCTGATCAGGACATGAAGGGAGATTAAACTGCCGGCATTTGGGAGCATACAGACTAGATCCATCGTTTCATTCTTAGTTCCTGGGCCTCCGGAAATGTTGTACAACATGAGAATCGCAGGACTAGTGAACAAGTAGTCTAAACACCCTATATTCTCGAATCGCGCTTATAGCTGTGGCCAAGCACATGAGCCGTGTGTTGAGGCAACGGTCTACTACTGCGGCCTCAGCTGTACCAAAAGTAACAGCAACTTCCTCTTTGCTATACATATGCTATGGTGTGTTTGGCCGAGGTGGATAGTTGTCGATAGGACTGATGCATGGGAAAAATCAGTGTGACAACTAATCCTATAGGATAGGGACTCACTTATTGGCCGTATCCGTATAGTTCTTACACTCTTTTAAAGCTATCGGTTTAGGACATGGATGTTTAGGCTTAAGCAATATAAATGATGGAACTAGAAGGATTGGTCCTCCTATCGTTGTAATAGCAACATGGTAACTTCTTGCCAGAAGATATGCAGCCAGACGCAATTGTGCATATCAAAGGGATTAAGACAGCATACATTGATGCACTGTTTTAAGGTTGAGAATAAATGATATGTATCATAGCCTGATTACGGTAATGAAAAAAATGTATAAAGAGAATCGTTGATATATGTTGTGCGTCCATGTTTGACTTTACGGTGTGAGTCACCGGCACAAGCTATATTTTGCTCCACGGAGTCAGTGGCTGAGGCTATCTCGCGAAGTCGCGATAGCCTTCGCCGGCGCGCGTTATAATAAATCACTAATCAGCTAGTGTGTTTAACGCATTACGATGCGTGTACTCATGGTGTCTTGCGTGGTTAGTGACGGTTCCCTGGCCTAGGTCCGGCCAAAATACAGTTTTTTTTTTTAAATAAGTTAAGAAAGAGTATCGCTATTTTGAGCTTTAAAGCTATTTTCTTGTTTTACTATCAAAATAGCCTTAAATTAACAACGGCTTGGTCATCTCGGACACCTCGCCCAAAATTCCGCAACATCTTTTGGTGGTTTTGGATTGGGTACTGAGATGGCTATTGTACGGTTCCAGCAGTTTTGTGCGCAGTCCCATTCCATTGTTGCGAGGTATTTCACGACACAAGCAACGCGGCTGCTTATCGATCAAGACAACGGACCAACAAATCCATTGTTCTACTGTAGAAAGAGTTAAGAACACATGACCCTTTCGACAGATGTTATAAAAGTCGCAAGTACATGCTGTAATGCTCTCGCACTGCTTTGATTTGGGTTTCAGGGTAGCTCAACAGACCAATGTTGCGACAACCAACTCCGCATCTAGACTACGAAACACTAACAAAAAGACGAACAAAGAAGGAACGGGGTCGTCATCGCCACACGCCAGCTCGATTTGAAGAGCATGAAAAGCATGATGCAATCATTGTTTCGACAGAAATTGTCCTTTGGGCCCTCTGGGTCGTCATTGTTTCCCGTGTTGCCGACCGTCCGAGCATTTCTCGTCACACTCTCAGGGAATCTTTCAAGAAAAGTGCTGAAATATTCAAATCTCTGCTACGAAAAGGTGCTTGCTCTAGTCAGCCTTCGATAAAAGGTCTGTTCGGGGTTGCATTCATCGCATAGGCAGCGCAAGCACAAGACCGCTCGGCCTCCTGTCAAATATAAGACGGGAACATCCGACTGGATGAAGAGAAATATGACAAGATGATTCCAACTTCCAAGGCGATTCGCTTGATTAGGCCCAAATCGGATTTATAACCATTATGTGTCTCTACGTTGTCCTAAAGAAGATGTATCAAAACTGTCGATGCACGCGACCCGATGGTGCCCCGTTTTATGGCTTATGCCTGGGCGTCAAGGAAGGTACGAAGAGCCAATGCGTGCCTCTTATCACAGACATATACGAATGCAAAATTGTTCGCGGAAAGTGTCCCGCGTGTTGTGTAGAAAGCAGAGCTAGGCAGCCGTCTGGGTTAATGTACTCATATATGAAAAGTCGCTTACGATTGAAGAAGGCATTTGCGAGCAAAGCTCTGAATATGCGAGGATTACGCAAAGTCGGCAGAGCTCGACCGAAATACGGCAAAGGCATGTCTATAAACGCAGCCTAAAGTATTATCCAGCGATCTACGGAGCAAATATCTGCGGTCAATGAGATACCTTGCGTGAATGACGGGGGATGACAACACAAGAGCGCGCGTTTCATCGACGTCAAGCATGGATAACAGCGGGCAATGAACCTCGGATGGTAAGCTTTCTAGAGTTGAGACTTCAGCACGCAACTGAGGTTGGGGTTTGTCAGATTTTGCTGGCGTGTTGGCGTCAGCCAACTCATCGTGCGGGCTCCTGCTAACCGTGGCTGTAGATCTAATTAGGCGCACTTCGGACAGTGTGGAGTGCAACGAATTCCCGACCCGTGACAAGATTCTTTTCATCTTTCTGGTTCCACGTCATGAAAAGAAAGCGATTGAAATGACTGCATGAAGTCAAATTAATACGTCACGTTCCAGGTCGCAGGCAATGTTGTTGGCCCTCTAACAATGTGCAAAGGCGAAGAGACGAGGTTAACGGGGCTGGGGTCTGGTGATTACATAAACAGCCTGGCAGGTACTCCGTAGACATGCGAGGCTATTAAACCCCGTACGACCATTTTCAAGACCTCTATTCTCGTGCTTGTCAAATAGAAACTGCTGAATACTCAGAGTCGTGATAAGTTGAAAAATTAGCTCGATAGCCGCCCGGGCATGACCATTGACTCAACGATGCAAGTTATCGGACAGACAAAAAGTCTGGTGCTTGTTGGAAGGCTATTACAGAGTAAACTTTTCAAAAATGTGAAGCTGAAACCTCTTTATACATTGCCAGCCAACCCATCTTTCCTTGGATAAGAGGTTTGTGTTTTTGTGTTTGTCATGGCTCGACCCCGTCAGATGCCAAGTACATCATTACCTAGGTGTGACCTCATTGGCTCGTTTGCGTTGCCCAATAAACTGACTAATCAAGATGTTTCCAGTGAATGCTTTCTTTGCATCGCCTTCTTCCCTACCAACCTTCCCCCCTTTCCTCCGCGGTCCAAAGGGTATTACAGAACTATGTCGTGCAAAGAATCGTCTCATTTTCCGCTCATAAATGGCACAGCCTCGGTCCGAGACGACGTCGTTAACTCAACCTCATCTATGTCTCTAGCTGTCGATGATGTTGTCACTGAAGATGGCAAACCAAATGATTTCGGGAGTTTTGTAAGCTCTGATGATGAGATTGAGATCGAGGAGATGTGTGAGCCTATCGAAAGATATGCAAATGGAATTTACTATCCCATATGTATTGGGGACGTTCTAGCTGGCACGTATCGGGTGATACATAAGCTGGGTTGGGGAGGCTTTTCCACTGTCTGGATGGCGCACGACCTCAAGCGCCAGAAGCTGGTTGCACTGAAGATTGGAATTCCTGGTGATACGGGAGAACGAGAGCTTAATATGCAAAGAGAAATCCTTCATAGAGTCAAGGATACCTCCCGCTATCTGACTTTTCTGGACACCTTTTCCGTCCCTGGCATGAACGGCACACACCTGGTAATGGTATTTCCTGTTCGAGGTCCAAGCCTACATAATTACATGAGAGACCTAGAGGTAAAGACTAGGATGATTGCTGCAAAGCAACTACTCTTAGCCTTAGAGTCCCTTCATGATGCTGGGATTGTACATTGTGGTGAGTATGGTTTGTTTTGGTTTAACACACCTCATATGGAAGATTAAGCTAATACAGCCTGCAATTAGATCTTAATAGCGGGAGCATGCTCTGGGATATCGGCAATATTGACGAGTGTTGTCCAAAAATGGCCTACCAAATCTTCGGCCGCCCTCGCAAGGCACCAGTATGGGTAGAGACTTGGAAACCTGGCGAGCTGGTCAGCCCAATTCAAGTGGACAAAAAATTGCTGCAAGGGAATATCTTTCTTGCTGATTTCGGGTTGGCGATCAAGACCGGATCACCAGTCAAATGTAAGTGGCAATCGCCTGCCGTTTACTGTGCCCCTGAGCGATTCCATGACATAGGTCCCAGCTTTGCCAGCGACATGTGGAGCTACATGTGCCTCTTCGCAGAGCTTCACCTTGGTTGCGTTCCCTTTCGCGGCAGAGCAAATGCCACAGCTCTCTCCAACCTAGTGAGGAGCCTTGGTCCTCTACCTCCGCAATGGGATGGCATGTATGATGCAGGCGATACACCAGAGGACTTCTGGTACGACCAAACGCAAACACCCCATACTCTGGTTACTCTGGAGGAAATCACCAAACGGGCGCGACCTGGGATTGTCGACTCCGAGCTGAAGCTGGTCGTCTCAGTATTATTGAAGGGATTTACATATTTGCCTGAAAATCGTTTGACGGCCGCAGAACTGTTGCAAGACAAGGATTTTAATGCCATTATGGAGTTATATGGATGCTGAAATTTCAATGGTCCTTGGACGGGTTCTTTTTGCTAATGAAATAAATGATGATTGAAATTAACCAAAGCATACTCTTATAGCTGAGATACAAAAAAGCAATATGCTATCAGATGACTTCATGTAACCGCTGTGTGTGCATGTGCCTTAGGGAGTCTGCGTCTTTGCATGATTCCACCAACGACGCGGCATCTCCTCGATGTCTGAGATGTCAAAGTCCTCTGCCTTGTTTACCAAATGGGACAAACATTCCTTTCCTCTGTTACATCACTAGCGGCTGTTTGCTTTGGGCCAACCCTGAGTATCCTGGAACCAGCGGGACTTATACAGCGCTGCAGAATACCGTTGAGGCGGCTGGAGCTTCCCGTTTTTCAGGAAATTGATTTGGTGCGAGATGACATCCCTCCAAGCTGCCTGGATATAAAGCGCATTACCCCGACCATCCAGGCTGAGGCACTTGATATCAGACCGAGGAAGCGACTTCCCGTCTGAACCAACACGTCTATCAACTGGCTGGAAGCCCGGCAAGAACTGCTTCGCCACAGACTCGCCGCTCCGAAACTTCTGCGATGGGATATCGAAGACGTGCAGGTCCGTATCAGTGGAGAGAAGGAGCTGGCGCTTATTAGGCACAGCGATCAAATCATGTCCCCCGTCCCACCAGCCGCTATACTGCGAGTTGGCCCATTCCGTTGTGAGGAGTATAGGATTGCCGACCTTGTACTCGTAAACAGGCTTCTGGGTAAACTTGCCTCCCCTGTATGCGTAGGCGTTTAGAGCGCTGCTGGACGGCGTCTTCCCAGCCGGTGGGTGGTTGTTTCCTACCGCCCACAGGAGATTGGCTTGTTGGTCCCAGACGAGGCCGTGGACGGCGGGTGTAGCATCGAGCTTCTCAACAGGGTTTGCGTACGCCTGCAGTCCGCGGCCAATGTCAAAGATTTGGATGTTTTCCGTATAAATGTCCGAGGCAGTAGCTATGGCTATTTTGTTGTCTGGTACGAGCTCGAGACTATGAGTGTTGCCCAGAGTGCCCCGGTTGATGCAAGTGCCAAACGTGATTTTCTTATCCTGAGGGCTTCCAGGAAGGTGGTTGATGATGATAGCAGCGCCGTTAAAGACTGTAAGGACACTCTTGCCGCCATTGGCCCACTTGGCCTCTGGGACGGCATAGTTTCTCTTGATACATTTGAGGAGGTCCGCAGGGATATTCTGCCTCTGGGCGTCGTCGGGAGTCCACCTCCACGACTCAGCGCCGTTGGCGTCATGGATGGAAACTGCCGCCAGAGAAGAGCCGGTGGCGAATAAGCCTGTGATGACCTTGGACAGAGCAGCCTCAGCCTCAAGACCTGACTGATCGTCCGTCTGCGCTATGGGACTGCCTTGGACAGAGGCCAGGTGCATGGCGCGGGCAGTAAGGGCTATAGCTGCGATTCTCATCTTGGCTTTGAGCACGAAAAGCGCTGCGGCAATTCAAGAAAGTGAAGGATACAAGAATATAGGATAATGGGTTTTTGATTGTGTCAGCCGTTGGTAGAAATATTCTTGTGAGCTTGATAGACCGCGATAGTTTGCACTCGAAGGGGGCAGATCAGGAAGTTTATATGCTGCAGAAAACAGTAGTAGAAGCCATGATCACTGCTACGAGTATCTGGATATTCTAGCATCTAGAATATCCAGATTGCAACGGGACCATGAGAGTCGATGAGGGTCAGGAGCACCCACAAGAAATCTTTTGATAGCATTGAGTCCGAGCAACAGCAGCATAGCAATGCATGACCGCAAATGGGACATCCATAACACATGCAGCTTACATCTTCTGACGAATTGCAACACAAGCTGCGTTATATCCCTGGAGTTCCAGCCCACCGAGTCGTCCATACCCAGCGAGCCCAACAGGTGCTGAGATTCCTGTTCCGTACAGAATTGATGGGTGAAGATGGTGTGTAATGGAGGTTATTACAATTACCAAATTTGCCATGTCCGACTTGGCATCAGTGCCATGCTTGGCAGACCGCTAGCTTACTTGTAGAGTTTTGGAACTTCTTAGAGCGGGTTGATCATTTGATGCCGGCACAAGCCATGTTGTGATGCGGCATGCAACCCTCACAAGGGTCTTGACCAGCGGGGGCTAAGGCAGGAGCTGTTAGTTTCCATGCTTACCAGATGCATAGTACGGCTTGTGAAATGTTTTGTTTGCGACACCATAGATGTGTAGCTTTGGTGCTAGTACATGCTGTTACCCTTCTTTCAAACTACAGCTACGACGACTCTGGGTGAAATTGTCAGTCTTTCGCGTAGCCTGCATGCCATCGCAGCTTCATCGAAGTCAAAGCCGGGGTCCCAGAAGAGAACTGTTGGTACCGCAATGATATCGACTGAATTGTGTTGCATCCGGCATGCATCAAGTTACAAGTCATTTACTCGTATCAAGCACGGCTACCGCATGCAACAAACGCTTCATTCTACGCGCCAGGATCTTGTTCGAGCCATGTCCAGACAAATGACCCGGTCCCACCACTTAACATAACTGCAATATTATGTCATGCGCACACACCATTATCATCGCCCTTACGGTGCGGTTGATTTACAGCGAATAGACTCTGCACGAGACAACAAGCCTCCAACCATATCAAGCACGGCCATGACACGGACACAAATCCTTGGATCAACTTTGTCACATCCAAGGAAACCTGACAACGCTCTGGAGGGACGAGATTGGGCAAGGTTTATGCATATGTACATGGCAGGCACCGTTTCACGGCCAGGTTGATATCGTCCGTGCTAGTGACCTACACAAATACAATTTGTCATTTATTCTCAATCTTCGCTGAACAATGTTGGTGGTAGACCAAAAAATGCGCCAACCCACGCAAGAAAAATGTCCGAGGGTCGTGCATGAGGAAGAAAAAGGTCAACTGGCGACCCCTGCACTCGGCCCGTTGAAAATTACGGCAAAGAATTCGAATACCGTTGCACGGGCACAAGTGCCTGGATCTAGCCTGAGGTGCAATACTTGTACGTATGACATGCAGTGGTGCAATGCTGGAAAGGTGTCTGGTGTGAATGCATCACGGGCCATATATGCTCCTCGTAAAAATGAAGCGCGCTCAAGGAGGTGCCAGTCAGCTCAGCAAGTTCATGTCTACCCCCCAGATATCTTATCATTGTACCACAATTCTGTGCTTACTATTACGTCAACGCATCACCATCAGTAACAGCTTCTTTGCGAGAATCTACGTTGCAAGACAGCCCCTCCATCTCACCCAAGAAGGAGCCAGGAAGCTGCCTCTTAGCACGGCAATCATAGTCACCCAGAAAAACGCAAATGAAAACGACTTTGCGAAGAGCTTTGATTTATTAGCTTTCAACCTCTGGTTAAGTGGCCTTCATATGCCCCTTGCTTGGAGATTTCATCTCTTCTGGTCAACCTTGATGAGATGACTTCCTGAGGAATCCCCGAACCGCCTACTTGACCATTCGAGGCTCTATCGATCAAAGTATAGGCATCGTTCCTCAGATCTTCTCCATCTGAACTATTATTCCTGTTAGAACCTAGTAAGCTGGATAGCCAATTAGACTACGGAAAAACATTAGAGGATACCTTCCTTCGTGTCATCATCACGATTCACTACCCATGGCGCCTCTTATAATCTCACCTCAATAATACCGTGAACATAACTAATTTCATGTGAGTATTGTATTCATCCTTGTTATATTCAACAACCACATCTTATCTCTCGCCAATCAAGATGTGGCCCTCGGGAAACTCGCGAAGAATCAATAGTACCGAAGAGCCCAAAAAAACTTTCACCTTGTCGCCAGGCTCACAGTTCGGATGACCTACTCCAATATATCCCCGAGGAGCTATAATGAAGCGCAGGTAGAGACAGTGAGGATTGAGTCGGTTCAAGCTCTACAGTTCGAGAGCGACAAATTTTATATATGAGAGCATTTCACTTTCCTGCTCATCATTTTTGGGTGGGAATTCGAAACCATCACTCCAGCCGAACACTCCCTGGACATTCACTTCGTTAATAACCTGTGGCAAGCGGGCAAGAGCAGGACCATGGTTGCCGTGGACAATGTTTTGCTCCAGGATTACCGTCCTCCAAAGCGCGTCGAGTATTAGCCCACCTGTCGGGCGGTACGTAGAAGCGCCCAGCTCCAAACACAGTCGTTTCCATCCCTTCATAATTGCTAACTGATAATAATGCACCTTGTGGTAATGCTCATGACTACGATCTCCAGGTGAATAATGCGCTAGCGATGCAAGTGCCAGATCAAGCGGATCACCGATAAAGACGATCTTGTCGACCATCGCCCAAGGGTCTCATCGTTGTCGGTGAACTTGAGACTTGATTAATGGTCACCATCCAGGTCAGCATTGAAGCCCCTCTGGCGAGTGTCACCAGTGTCATTTTGTATCAAGCTCATACTTTGTTAGTTAGACACAATTTCTGAAGTGCATTATAGGAAGAGAGCTGCGTGACGCTAATAGAATTGAACAGGAAGTTGGCCATATCTTGCGAGAATCCAAGAGAGAAGGGAGAGGTTCTCATTGTATGGCTTCGACCGGGCGGTAAGAACGTCCAATTTCGCAGTTGATATGAGGAAGGGTTTGGCAACACCAACGAATGTCTGCCGTAGTTCAGATCATAGCGAGGTTTAATCTTCAATATACTCATCGTTCCCCAATAGCCCAAGCAAAGCAAATATTCGGTCTGGGGGTTCTATCGCTTCAGAGTTCAATGTCATGGCCAACAGATTTGGGAGTGGCGGCAATGCTCCCAGTCTTAAAGTTACTGAGTGTTTTACAGAAAGAAGAAGGGAAAGCACTGTTTCACTTTTTCCAACAGTCAAAATTCAGTCTAGCGCTAGGCCGTAGTCCCCCGTTTTAATGTTTTGCGGCCCGCCCGGCCCGTCGGAGGAGCACATTGAGATAGATTTCTAGATGTTGCCATTCAAGAGAACTAGAGCCGTGAACAAAAATTACTTCTTTATCT